TTTGCTGTTTTGTGCGCATGTCAACCTACCATGAATCCTCAAAACGGCTTCCAGTCTTGTTGAGTTTGAATGGAGAAAAACGAAAAAATTCGAAAAAGCCCTCTTTGAAAGCTGGACAAAATTATAAAGCCACCTGGTTTTTCTAATCACTATTGCATTCATTGACTCTCAAATTTTTTTGTACAATTACTTCCCGAAATATGAAACATTTGCAACATCTACGGCCTGTCATCCTACTCAAATAAAAGCGATCACTGCATTTTTTGCTTTCAAAAGCACCAAAAGTCAATCTGCTTTAACAAACATCTAGTTTGAAGAGTTTTAGAGTTCTTGTTCATTTCAAATGATAATCATGGAATCCACTGGCCCTTCTAGATAGATGAGGTGAAGAGCGCTTTGGTAAACTCTGCATAATTGCTGATTTTGACGGACAGACTCCAACCTCACTATAGAGTTGACGCACTTTTGCACCACAAAACTCAATTTTAAGCGACGAAATTACTGTAATGTAGCCATTACGACAGCCGTACAACAATGAACTAGTGTGGACTGGGAAAAAATTTCGGGATTGAGCACTTTGGTTCAGCCGCAGTTGGGATTCACTGAATGTTGAGTGGAGCACCTTGCACAATCAAAGCCAACTCAGATCACGATATAAAACCGGAGACTCTTGAAACTTCAAAAACTTAGCTAATCTCATTCATCGGGTGAAATATGACATGAAACACAGAGGGAAATAAGGAGATTTAGGGTTATAACGAATTTTCTGCTTGCAGAAAATTTTCGTGGTAAGTATTTCAGATCTAAATCGCTACCTTATCATAAGGGAAAATCTGAAAGTTGTTGCGAAAGCTGCATCCCCATGTAGGCAATGTAATAAATCAAGTACAGCACTTTGTGGACATTGCAAACTGAGTTTTGTGGTTTAAAAGCGTTTCAAGCCTATGTTGAGGTTGGAGTCTGTCCGTCAAAATCAGCGATTATGCAGAGTTTACGAAAGCGCTCCTCACCTCATCTATCCAGAAGGGTCAGTAGATTCCATGATTATCATTTGAAATGAACAAGAGCTTGAAGACTCTTCAAACCAGTGTTTGTTGAAGCAGATTGACTTTTGGTGCTTTTGAAAGCAAATAATGCAGTGATCGCTTCTATTTGAGTAGGATGACAGGCCGTAGATGTTGCAAATGATTCATATCCTGGGATGTAATTGTACAAAAAAATTTGAGAGTCAACGGATGCGATAGTGATTAGAAAAACCAGGTGGCTTTATAATTTTATCCAGCTTCCAAAGAGGGCTTTATCGAATTTTTTCGTTTTTCTCCGTTCAAACTCAACAAGACTGGAAGCCGTTTTGAGGTTTTCATGGTAGGCTGACATGCGCACAATAGCAAAGTCTTAGACAGATTCATTGGCAAGAACGAAAATCGCGACAATTTCTAGAGTGGCTTTATAATTATGTCCAGCACTGTATATTAGGTCGTCCCGAAAGTTCTTTCACTCCATTTTCAAAAAATCATAACTTCTGATTTCTCTAGCCGATTTGGCTGCTTCTAATTTTTTGTGAAAGAGTGAATCATGCTCTTTATAATGACACCTTAGATGCTTGCTAATGATCATCTGTTGCATAGACAGGAGCGATAGAAAAAAATAAGTCAAAATTTGAATTTTCTCTGTAGGGTCATAAAAAATCGGAGACTTGCAACGAAAATCGGAGCAGTCAGTATTGTAGGCCCTTTCACCAGCTCTTTCTAACTGTGCAAAGTTTGCGCCAATTGAGCGTCTCTGTAAACTATGGTTTTCGAGCAAGCAATACAAAAGGGCGAATTTGAACTATTTTGGCTTTTTTCAGGAAAATCGTAACTTTTATAGACGCTCAATCGGCGCAAACTTTGCGCTGTTAGAAAGAGCTGGTGAGAGAACTTACAATACTGACTATTTTTGTTGCAATTCTCCGATTTTTATGACCCTACAGAGAAAATTCAAATTTTGACTAATTTTTTCTATCGTTCCTATCTATGCAACAGATGATCATTACCAAGGATTCAAGATGTCTTTATAAAGAGCATGGTTTACATTTTCATACAAAATTGAACCGCTCCGCATCCGATGTGAAGACGCGAGCGCGTACGAACTTCAGGTTGCTGATTTGGTTCCATCACTGATTCAACTACTTTAAATCATGATTTTTTTTTCTACAGTAGACTTTTAATGAAGATAAAGCATCATCTTGAGGTCACAAAATATCATATACTGCGCAAAATGAAATTCCATTTCCATTATAAGTAAACACTTTATAGTAAAAATTCCATTTCTGATTCTCAAACGACAGTTTTTAGGCATTCTCATTGGCAATTCCATAATGATCGGTTCTACACATAGATTACAACCTTTGCAAAAGTCATGATACCACTTGGTGTCTAAGAGACAGACTATAATAGTTAGAGTAAAGGATAAGCAGCGCGTTTAGCTGCAAATTCATTACTCAGCAAAGGAGATCAGTTGTCGGAGGGATCCTACGATTAAAAGCTAAAGGCAATATGCCAAACGTGCCTATTCTTAAGCTTGGCTTGTATGAAGAAGCAGTCTTGAAGAGGAAAGCTAGATTTTATGAAAGCTTTCTTTATAACAGTTATGAGCGACTAATGCTCAAAATCAGGTCAGCGGCTCTTTTGTGGTGATATGTTGTAAGGCCGTGCATGCGCAGCATTCTGCTCTTTTGTGAAGTTCTGTAAGAACTTACCGTTTGGAATAATCGAGTCAAAATAAAATCATCTCATTTAAGCCGCAAAGACTGATTTCTCTTTAGCATAACATGCCTGCGGTAGCAAGGCTTGATTGAGGATTATCGAATGCATTCGTTAAGAAGAAATGTTACAGTCATAAACTTCTTTTCAGAAGCACTGAACACGTGCTTGCTTCCACATCCGTCCTGCACTGTGCTTACGAAACCTCGATGCCTATCTAACCTAGTACTTTCGCGTCATCAACTCCTCAAACAGCAAGTGCTGCTTCGAAACACACCGAGCAATAATGGCCATCAGCAATGAAGTGCTGAAAACTTTTCATTTTAAAAGTTCTAAACAATGATATCGGTGAATCCAGATGGAGAAAGTCTCCCAGCCTTGAAAAAATACTTTTTTTGAATCGGTTACTGAAATCGTGATAAATTCGAATTTCCAGTCATTATAACTGTCTGCGAGCTACTCCCTGAACAAAGATTTTCTCAGTTTCTTAGGTGAAAACTTGGAAAATCGATCTGTTACTTCATTGACCCTTTCTTGCAATATGTTCGGGAAAAATATATTTTCAATTGTTTCTCTGGTTAAAATCGACAGCTTGCACATCTGTGTGTCCAACAAATCCCAAAATTCACAGAGAAATCTAATTTGGAGCCAGTTTGGCAAGCTCAAAGCTGTATGCATCCGCTTGGCATGCGATTTTTGGAGGATCATCATATTGGATCCGCACGAAATTTTGCATTACGGGTTTGCGTGGTGCCGAGGTGCTATGACCCAAATTTCAACCCAAAACCTTTGCTGGAACTCGCGTTATGAATTTCGTGACAGACGGACGTTTACACAGACAGACACACAAAAGCACGTAAACCTCTAGCGCATTATTATAGTAGGATATATATAGATGGTCTGTGCATATGCGCGGGCCACCCCTTTTAGCATAAAAGATATAATCCTAGTTTGTAAACATTGGAAAGGAAAAGGGTTTGAATCCGCGGCTGTCTGCCCCATAGGCTTCGCGTTTATCCACTACACCAAAGCAAAGGAGATATCGTAAATGTACGTTAAACAAGTGTATACGTTTACACGTCTACACACTCTCTCGACCAGTTGCTGCACGACTGACATGCAGAAACACGATCTTGCTCGCGCGCCTTCTTCAAAATTCCGAATTTTTCTCAGTGAATTGTAATTTAATGTTTCGCTTACGGCGCACAGATAACGAAATGACCAAGAATTTGTGAGTGAACGAATGTGAACGGACGTAGATAGGAAGAACATGGCAGCGTATCGCGTAAATATTGAGCAACTGAATGTTGTGGCGTTGTGAACCGTACTTAAGGAAACTTTACATCACGAAAAAATCGGGGTCCATAATTCCGGGCGCTTGACATGATTACAAATTTTAGATCGTTCACGCTGATTGAGGTGGTATATAGCTTACCGCGACTGGCCCTTTGTCTGGGTCCGCTCCTTGTAAGCAAGCTAGAGAGCTTTGTCTGATATACTTGGAACATTCTCTGCTTTACATTGCGCTGCTAAACTGATGACCTATGTAGAAATCGCGCCTCTTGATTGTCTCCCCCCCCCTTCTACAGGGTTCTTATCTCCTGCATCTGCCTTGGTGATACTTAAAGTGTGTGTAAGAACGGCATCTCATTTCGCATTCGTCTAGGGTATTGAAAAGACTATATTAATATTAAGGAAAATGGAATGAAGCGTAGTGTTATCAGAAGAACAGAACTAGACAACTGAAGTTGAAATGTGCTGATATAATCACCCCGTTACCAACGTAGGTTGTGATTACACCCTTTGGAATCGGACAAAAAGTATGTTGCTTATACACCTGTTTCACTACAAGGGTCGTGCGTCTGGAAATTGAAAAGTTCTCGACTGCAGCTTTTTTGAATATTTTTGCGCGCTTCATGTCTCGGGTGTGCCGAGTGCACAAGCACTTGCGATCATGGTAGTGTTACGGTTTTTACGGTTTTCAGCATTTTTTTCATTATTAATGACTACTATCGATTCTAGCAAAGTTTTAGTGGTGTAACCTAATAAACTGAATTTACTTCACTGTACTTTAAGGTCGAGTAAATCATCATGTAAATTGAAAACCGGAAAAAAAACTTTTGTAGTATAAATGACTGACTTTAAGCAAAGTTAACCAGCAGATATACTTAGGTTTTATACCACGTGGTGTCTCATACTGAGTATCTCTGCGAACGTGCTGCAAACAATGCTTTATTCGTATCTTATCACAAGCAAAAACAGGCAATGAGAGAAAGTGTGTGCCCGTTGTTTTTGTAGTTTATCGCCTGCATCGTCTTGCTGGTGTTGTTTGTTCTAATTCAGTTTTCGATAATGCATGTTGCACCACGCTTGGCAAGTGGTCTTGATAAAGAAAATCTTATTCTGGTAGGGAGCCATGCACGAATAACAGAATGGATGCAAAATAGTTTTTCCATTACGTTCTAGTTTCAATTGACGGCAGCAAAAACTGAAACGATTACACTTTGCTGCTTATTAGGACGATGTAACTTGGACTTACCCCGCAAGTGTTGGTACTGATAAACAAGCTCCCAGGATAAATAGGAGAAGCAGAAACTTCATACTTGTCTTCAGCGATGTACGTGTGCTCTAAAGAAGATTCCAACGGAATTCTGATTAGCACGTATAAAACGCGGATGAAGAGCGACGGCTACAACGTTTACATTACACTACGTTTACAACTGATATTGTCTTCTTTTCCAGAATTAGTAATACTAAGGAAAATGGAATGAACCGAAGTGCTATCAGGAGATCAGAATTAGGTAGACAATTGAAATTGAACTGGGTTTGCAGAGAATGGATTAATGGAGTGAAAGGCTCCCGATGCTGCCGGCGTTCGACCGCGTTGCTTGGATTCGTAATGAGAACTACGTACTCTTGCGAAGTGACTGAATTTAATGATAGCGAGGGTTTATAAATTTCGCTGCGCTTAGCTGGCTTAAGGTGTCTAAATACACCAATCGCAAGATGCCTTAAATGCACGTTTGCAAAGTTTGACAATTAACGTCTTAGTTGTTCAAATTTTCTATAATCTGCTTGATACGTATCAGCGGTTATTCGACTCATATTTTTGGCTTGTTCATCAATCAACACCAATTTTGCGCCACTAAGAACCAGTTCCAACCTCGAAAAGGCGCCTAAAATGCTGTGAGAAATCATCAGGAACAGATGACAACCAAGCAGGTTTGAGTTAGTCACGAGATACTCATTTTATACATATGCAGACTTATCACTGGCCAATACTTATTTCATATACATATTTAGAGTATAAAATGAAAATTAATATACTGTATTTATAGAAGTAAAAACCTTCAGTTATATGCAGAATTTTTTAATTTTTCAAAAACAATTTCGCGAAAGCGTTAGGGGGTCCCTTGAATCTAAGTGCAAATCGCTCATAAGTGAAATATCGTAGTGTACGAAACAACAAGACAAGAATTGCTATCTCTGATGTGGATCCATTTTTGACTATCAAAATGCACAGTTGTCATAGACACAGCTGAATACCGCTTGCACATCTACAGGGTGTCCCAAAAAGATGTGCACACTGTTTGTTCGTCAATAACTCCCTCGCTTTCATGTCTTTTGCCAAGACTGAGGTATCATTCTATAGAGCGATGTTTAACTTAGATTGACAGTATGGAGCGAATTATCAGTCGCTCTTCATTACTGTAGGATTACGGTAGGAACTTCGGGGAGGATTTCAAGCCATTGAAAACGGTATTTTGCCTCAGGAAAGAAATGAAACAAGCCAGAACCTGTTGACTGAGCTAATCGAAATCGCTGAATCTAAATATGAAATTTGCGCTTGACTGTAGTGCTTTTTTCATAAATTATTTTACATTTAGTGTAACAATCGTTTTTTAAATGTTCGTCAGATATGTGAATACGCCATCAAGAAAGCTCAAAAAACTGGTGAAAGTTATGTATCATCGGCTCCACGATTCGTGTAGAGGCGGGGTTTTGCCAACTCAAAGCGTGGCGGTTTTTGATAGCAAGAGAGTACAAAAAACAATGCTATGAGGTGGAGATTTAACAAGTTTACCTGTGTTACCAGGCAAAGTCTGCAATACACCTCTACGAATCGTGGAGACGATCATAGTGAAATCAGCATGCCTGAAAACCTTGCTACACAGGTTCAGAGATTTTCTTGAAATTATTTCATCAAAAGGCCTATTCCAAAGTGACGCTGTTTGCTGAAAGTTCATACCGTAATCCTACAGTAATGAAGATTAATCGATGATTCGCTCTATACTGTAAGTCTAATTTGAACCTCGCCTACAAAATGGTACCTCAAGCTCGGCAAAAGACATGAAAGCAAGAGAGTTATTGACGATCAAACAGTGTGCGCAACTTTTCGGGACGCCCTGTATTGGTATGTGGTGTTAAAGATTGGATTTCCCCACTTTCTTGGCCCAACCTGTGCGGGTTGAAGCTGGTTGTACAGTTTGTGTCAACCATGTCCCTTTGGAAAGGAACACGCATTGCAAAGCGAGCGTTTTGCTTGTGGGCTCTCAATGGTGAAGCCAGATTTGATGCTCATACCACACGCGTGCGGAGACGGCGCGAAGCTCTGCCGTGGCGATTTCGCTGACGGAAAGGGAGCACGAAGACACGCTTTCTACTCGTGTATAAAGCAACAAAACAACTCTTGCACACCTGCATTCAACGGTTCTTAGCGGCCTAGCAGGTTCTTGAGGACCAAGCAGCACATTCATTCAGTCAAGTCCCTTTCGTATAAAAGTGATGCGTGAGGGGCCTTCTGACATAATTACGAGTTTTGCTGTCTTGCTAAAAAAAACTAAAAAAATTTCTGGCAATGAGTAGGAGACCACATGTAGCAGAGCCATAGCAAACAAGATGCAACTTTCACTGTAATTTTACCCCTATAGAATATGATCATCGAAATTTTTCCAGTGCTTCTCTTTTGAAAGCCAAGCACTAGACCATCATAATAATATGAAGTTTCAGCTGGATCCCATGTTGAGGCGAGGAAAATGCTTTCAAGGTTGGCTTGGATTAATGAGAGCTACGTTGCTCTTGCCAAAACCAAGAACGAGAAAATTTCTCAAAGTGAGATGGTTGACACTGAACCTGGCTAGCCTTGTATGCGCAGCACAACTCGAAATACTCTTTGACGTCAACAGTTCTATAATCTTCTTCAACTTCTTTGGCATTAAAAAGTCTATCGTTGGACTCTAATTTGCTTTCTGACTGTGTTGAGCTGCTTAGCCAGGACACAGATAACATTATACTGTAGCATGGAATTAGAAAAGCAGATTTTCGTGCAAGGCAAAGCCGATTTTGGTTTATACTCAGATTTTTTGATCACTGCCAAGTCTGTGTTAGTCACATTTCTTTGAAACCACAGACCTGTTCAGTGTTCTCTTTGACCCCTTTGCATAGCAAAGCAAGCCAGCGTCTATATTGAGGAATGCTTTGAGAGTAAGCAGAGCGAGACGAAATGGTAAATACTAGCCCAATGGTTGAAGAAATGAGATGGTAGTGACTACATATGGCATCTTTACGTGGTGTTCGAGTACAGGATAAGTGGCAAGGCCAGTTTTGATGTGCAGTAAAATTCCATCTTATAACTAATTCAGTTTTGTCATCCTTGATGTGGAACCAACCGTTTGGAAATACGATTGTCGACCTATTGATAAAGTCAAATTTTCAAAAAACAAACGCTTGTCTGGAACTTCACTAGTTGTGAGAATAAGCTATGAAAATATAATGTTTTTCCCTTTTCAAAATTAGTACTTCATGAAGGGTATAGTAAAAATTGTAACGGGTCTTCAAAATTCGGCCATTTTGGCGAAAACTTCTTATCAGAGCTTGCGAGATCAAAGTTGAGTTGGTTTTTTAAGCACGTCAACACACCGATGACACTGCGACCCACAGGTGAATCATGCAATCACTGCCACGTGAGACAATGTGATATGATAGGTCATGGCTTGAATTTTAGTGAAATGACTACAGTTTTAGGGTACAATCGTTTCATAATTATTTTACGCTTCGACCCATAGGAAAACTTTCGCCTTTCTTGGCTGCGCCTTAGAAGCTGTAGTTATACTGTAAATGACGATCTGCGTGATTTTATTATTCGCTAAAAGTTTTCGACTTATTCGTGGAAGGCATTGTCCCACAAGGCAGACAACTAGAAATGCACGTTGTCGTCAACTTGTCAAAAAAAGAATCAGGTTGTAAGACTACTTGGACAGAATAACATTGAAGAACACGGTAGTTGATACCGATTAACTGACAGCTCCAGAGCCGCAATAAGTATGTTCTAACACCATTTATCTTTTTATGAGAGACAGGCAAAAGCCGCAGTAGATTGACTGCCACTAAATGAAAGAAGCGCGAAAAGTTTAAGTTCAATTTACTCTCTTCAAATTTTAACTCATAATCCTCCATTACACTTTCTGTTGTGATGAGAAAACTTTCGGGGCCGGAAAACTCTTTTCATGAAATACGAACCCTGACAAATGCGACTGCCGAAGCGCGCGCTCTCGTATACATCCTTCATGCCTGATTCATACATGCTTTTACTGTGACTCATTTTTTGCTTTTTCGTAAATATTCAATGTTGCTTTGAAGTCTTGCGAGCTACGGAATAGATTATGACTTCAATTCTAATCGCTCTATTTCCATGTCGATTATTCGGAGCGATTCTATTCTTTTTACTCAGCGCCATTGAGGATAAGGTCTCAAAAAAGTGCCTTTAGTTTATATTCACGACACAGAACAAATTAGTTACTGGTTTTCTTCGTTGCTTTATCACGGTGGAAGTTTGCAGGCACAAAGTTCTTGATAAATTAACTAGCAATGAGTAGCATCCACCACCTTGTGTACGCCCTGCCGTGGCCTACATATGGAGGAACTTTGCTTTGAAAGTTCTAAAAAAATTTAGGAATTTTTCAGAATTTTACAAAAGAAGTGTAACAGAAATTATCCGCCAACCCAAATTTTTGTTAAAATCACATATGGTAATAGAAGTTACAATTAGAGCACCATTTTCAACCGTCTTTCCTAATTACTGCGACCTGTTGACCATGTTATGAGTAAAATTGATACACTGCTTCAGTCCTGAAGGTACCGTAAAGACTATATCTAGACTGTGCCTTGATTTCACGCAGTAGCACTAATGAGTCGTCATCTAACAACATCTCGCCCATCACTGGGTGCGCCGGCTACGCCGGAGGAGAATGACTTTGTAACTTCCCCCACAAAACCGCTCGGCACCTAGCGAAAGTAGTTTTGAGTGCCTTAGGACGGTTTCCTGATATACAGCTCATTCCAAATGGCCGCTTCAACCGATCATCCTTCCCTTGTAAGAGCGCACTGAAAATAGCAAAATTTGGGACTAGCGTATGAATAAAAAGAAATAACTGAGTTTATAAATTTTCTAAGTTTTGTCCCTATCTTTAGACAGAGTTCTTGATTTTTAGGCCCTCATCGGGACCCTTCAATAGACGGAGAAGTCCTAGAATGTTTTTGAAAATTGTAGAAGAATAGGAAAAGTCATCCCCTTATAAAATTAAAACTCATGGTATAATATATTGCCTTCCGAAATGGTATAAATTCGGCCACTTTGACTAAAAGCACTTTGCTTGTCCGTGGTAAAATGTCTGCTTTGCATCAGTTTTTGGAACCATTTGCGGCATTTTCAGCAGAAATCCTCTTTAGAAAA